GAGGGCGGTATGTGACAATGACCGCTCTTCCCCCGAAAGGGGCAGTCACATCCCTCTAGCAACTTTGCGCTGCTGCTGGCTGGGTTTTCTGGGAACTGAGAGGTTGCTACAGCTGCTGCATCCTTACAGCTTTCTGTCTGGGGAGAAAATAATTTATTTCATAGAATCATAGAATGGTTTGGGTTGGAAGGGACTTTAAAGATCATCTAGTTCCAATCTCTCCACCATGGGCAGGGACACCTTCCACTAGATCTGGAAAAGCAAAAGCAAAATCCAAACACATTGAAGTTAATTGAAATAGATCACTCTTTTTTTCTTTTCTTTTTTTTTTTTTTTTTTAATTGGGGAGTACAGTTTTTTTGACTCAATTGGATTTTTTCAGTACAAAATTTGGTCAAAAACCACTTAACATCAGTCCAACAGGTCAGACAAGAATCTAGGGTTCTACCATGGAAAGCTGCATTCAACGAAAGTGCTCAGCTAGGTAGTTACAATTTTACCAACACCGTAAGGACTTAAAAATGGTTGAAAAACTACATGTGGGAATACAAAAACAAAAACCCACAGATGATAAAAGCATGTTGTCCAAGCAATCTCACAAGTGATTTCCATCTAACTCAGTGCAAAAATTAGCAACGAAAACAGTGAAAGAGTAGTACAGGGAATATATAATTAGGAAATCTAGTATTTATTTTTAAATGTAAAGGGATAAATAAAATGCAAAGTGCGGTTATATTCTGAAGAGTACAAAACATGGATAACCTTACTTTATTCATTGTATGTCATGTTATTATACTAAAGTAAAAAAGAAAAAAATTATTAACTCTTGTAAGTTCAAGAGAAGAATAAGGGTGGGATGAGAGAACCAATTGATTGCCCTTTGCCTGTTCATCAGCATCCGCACACCACCACCGCCCTCTTCCACACTGGGATGTGACGATCTAGCAGTCAGAAAGCAATGTTTTTTGGATTTGACACCCTAAGCTGAATTGCCAGGCGAGCAACATGGGAAAAAAATGAAGCAAAACAAAATTCTTGTCTTTCAGCCTTGGAGCCATCATGTTTGCCAGGGAACTGGCGTGGAAGCCTAGAGCTGATCTTCAGCTACTTTTCCGATTATAACCACACTTCAGCTACACGCTACAGGGACGTGCTCATACTCTACGACAAAGGGAGAGGTTTGAGATGCAGTGAAGACAGCGGTTCCTCACGCTAACATCATCTCAAAAGCAGCTTTCAACAAGAAAAACTAAAACATACCAGGCAGCATTCAGAGAAGGATTTTTTAGGAGGCCGTGCAGGAGGGGGTGGTCCCTGATCCCACTCCCAGAAGGCCATTGAGTTCTGACGAAGCAAAAGCTCCTCCGATGGCTAAGAGGAGGCAGATGCCCCAATGGCAGAATAGCCAGAAAGAAAGAGGAGACAAAGCAAAAGAAGCATGCATATGATCCACAGCCAAAAAAAGAAGAAAGTAAATACATGACAAAGTATTGAAAAGGCTCTGCTGAGATATACATGAGGCAACATTTAAAATATACTTGCAAAGCCAAGTTAGCAAAAATAGCAACAAACATGTACAAGTGCTGTTTTGCTGTGTTTCCATGAAACATTATTCAAAGCCGCAGTTCAAGAGTCCATTCATCCATTCAGACGGCAAATGCCTCCACCGGCCAACACCATTCAGCAAGGTTTACCACAAAACAGCATGAGTGTTTTATTTTTGCTAGTGACATACCAAAGAAGCACATGGACACCAATGGAAATATATGGCAGAAAATACTTAATGAAGGACGAGAAACTGAAAAGATGGGAAAGAAATGCGTGTATGTGACTGACATTTACAAGGTACATGGGAGTTTCCAAGCTTTAGGCATAAAAAGGCCCCAAAGTCTTAACCTTTCAAATGAGCTTACTCACGTCAGGAATCTATGTAAGAGAGAGAAAAAAAAAATCCTTTTAAAAAAAAAAAAAGAAGAGCGAGCCCTGCCTCATTCACCTCTATAGTGCTGACATTTATTCAAGGAGTTGACTTTTCCAGAGACCTTCACCCTGGCCAGAGCTCAGCAGCTGCACCCAGTTGAGCGCCAGGGCTCTGCTCTCTGCGTGCAGTAACAAAATCAGGGTCTAAATCAGCAAATAAGCCATTTTCCTGATGACAAAGGGGCTGTCTTCTTCCAAAATAATAAAAGCATTTTATTTATGTTGAGTGCTTTCAAGTTGTACAACATACACAAGCATCTGTGACAAGCAGCATCTAAATGGGTACAGAGACCCACACAAACCTTACGGTAGCCACAAAACTGCCTGAAGTAAGAACACATCGTTTGTCAAAACCTCAGCTCCTGGGTCACAAGCTCGTGCCACTTGCAGATGATGCCACCTACCTCCCTCAAATCGTTGTCCAGCCCGATGTGCTCCGAGTGCTGCCGCAGGCGGTCTTTCCTCCGCTGCGCGGTGGTGCTGCGACTGGCCCAGCGGCTGGGAATCAGAGAGAGAGAAGACCCATGTGAGTGAAAAGAAAACAGGAGGGAAAGCCTGGGTCAGGAACCACAGGACATCTGACGGGTCTGCAGCAGGAGAAGCAAAAGCACAAACTTGGACCTTGCAGTAGATGCGGGCGCAAGCTGGCGCCTGACCTCCCTGTGTGAAACCGCCTGGCAGGGGACAGGCCAGCGTGCTCCCAAGGGACAAAAGCCCTGATGGAAACATGCCTGCTGCCTGCCAGGGTCTCCAGTGGGAACTCCTGTCTTACCCAAATTGCAGGTCATGTCACAACATTGATACCACCACTAGGTAAATCATTGTACTTAGTTACCCAGCGCCACCAGTGATGGCTGCATTTGCTGAAGTTTGATAAAAATGATGTTATTTTGAGTAGCAACTTCTCTTTTGTGAGAGGTGGTACTTCTCCTTTCTCCACTTTCTGTGGTACTTCCAGGAATTATTTCAGAGAAACTTCTCATGTGACATTGGGTGCACCTCTCTCTAAAGGCTATAAACAATACTGATGGTTCCTGGGATTAATCATGTCGCTATCTTCACCGTATCTTTTTTTTGCATCTGGTATCTAAATACCACAGAAAGCCTGCATTTTTTTCTACATGCTCATATATGTCCAGTTTAATTTTTTCCTCATCTGAAGCTGTTGCCTGAAAGCAGCCACTTAGTAACCAGGTTTGAAACCGAGCAACCTGAAAGCTCCCAAGTGTCCAAACTCCTTTACGCCAGATGCTATAACAAAACAAAAACCCAAGATAATTCTGTCTCAAGGAACTTCTAGTCTAATTGCAGGGTTTCTAATCATACTATAGCCTTCTGTCAAATCCTTGAAATCAAAAATGCTCAACTGGTGAGAGAATAAAAAAGTTAACACATTATTTATAAAACAAAGCTGAGGTAACACTGTATAAAGCAACCTATCAAGCATTAAAAATAAGTATTTTAATGCACATGAAGGCTATATCTTCAGAACGATTTACTTAATTACTGTGGTTGTGTTTATTAAAATTAAAAATATCTTTCAAATACAGTAAAAAATAAAAAAAGCCTTTTAGCATATAGCCTTTCAGTCACTTCATGAAGTCATCTGTTCTGCCTCTCTCCCACATTCTGAAGTTGAAGAGCAAAACCGAGGTGAAGCAGAACACAAAGCCTGCCCAGGGCAGCGCTCCAGCTCCGGTGCCTGGCGGGATGTATGAATAAAGCTCTACCTACGGGACGAAACTACCTGGAAGAATTTGAAGAGATAATCTAAACCTGGAAGAATAAAAAAAGAATGAAAAAGAAAAAAAAAAACATCAAGAAAACAACACCCTACACTCCCCAACTTCAGTACGTGAGTCAAAAGGACCCTACAAAACCTGTCTCCATCCTGGCCATTCTATTCCAGACTGAAGTGTCCATTCTGGGCACCAGGCCAGAATGACTGCTCCAAGATGAGCAGGAGCTGTGATTAACAGGCAGAGCCCCTGGGGATATGGGTTCTCTGCCTTCGATAAATCTATACAGAGGGAAACCTAGAGATGCCCACATCAAAACCAGAAGTGTGTGCTTGGGGAGCCTCTCCACACAGGTGGTATTGGCAAGGACAGCAGTCTCCAGATCCCAAACCCTTCTGTTTCTGTGTGCATCCCAAACAGGAGCATATACAGGCAGGTCAGATCCCAGATCCTATTTGGGCAAGGAGTTTCAGCTGGCGACATGTAGGCAGATGCATGCCTGGAGGAGGAAACCCTTGCACAGAGCTGGACTTGGGTCCTCTCAAGTCCAGCAAGCCATTGGAGATGCGTAGGGACGGGAACCTGACCCAAGAGAAGTGCAGAGATGTAACCCCTGGTTACAAAAGCGCCCTGTTTCTAGAGAGAAGGACTTTGCATACATGTACCTAACTAGCTATCTCCATCAATAGTCGGTCAATCGAAGATCAAATTTTGTCTAACCACACAGATAAAAAGGGAAAAAATACACAGGAACTACAGTTCTTATGGTCAAGTTGAAGTCCTTTCCTACCTACCAAATAATGTCAAGAAAACAAGTAAAAAGGAAGAAATAAACATCTGGGTCTGCATGTAATTATGGTTCAGCACCTCAATATCCCCTATGACAAGAAATTTATTTTTAAACCAATGTAGCCTCAAGTCTCTGGTAACTAAACAAAACAGTCCAATAGATGTCTGCACAGCAAATGCTGATACCTTCTCAGAGGAATACATTGCTGACATAAGTGTCTTTGCACCTCCTCAGAAGTCTTAAAAATATACAGCTCGTGAGTTTAATAAGTCACCACTTCTTTTTTTTTCAGAAGCAACACTCAACGCCTTATTAGATGACTGAGAGGGGGGAAACAAAACTCTGTATTTTAATAATCTCAATGAATAGAAATGCAGCAGAAGAGACACCCCCTCAAACAGAGGATAGCAGATGTAAAAGTGACTTTAGCTACCCGGCTCTAGAGACCTTCCATTTATTGCAAGTTAGTACCATGCTTACATTTCATGTGACAGAATGCCGATAATACCTTGGAAAGTTATAGATCAAATATTACCCATATCATATTTTTCCGCTCCAATTCATATGCTGTTTTCTGAATCCTAGACAAAGCTTGGATCGCTGTCCACCTGCATTTCTGCAGTTACTGCAAGACGTAAGAATTGCTAGAAGCGTCCTTTGCGGGAACACGTCTCACCAAAGGTGAGAGCAGAATGAAAGCCACAGCATAATTACAAGTAATACACCATCATTAAAGTATTTTCAGTTAATTCCAGCCCAGAAGCTACAGACCGTTCTCCGGATTATTAATCAGACCTATTCGAACATTTTAATCATACAAACATAAAGATCACTGGGTGTTTATGAAAAAAACACTGCTGCTCATCAGCTGGAGCAATCATATGTGCAGCGAGCTGTGAATTCCCTCTTACCCAACCTCTAAGCTGAGAAAGAGGAGCTGCTGGGGCGCTGGGTGAGGTCTGTGCATTTGGATGCCGCTATGATTCTCTCTGGGAGATTTTGTGAAGATCTAACAGCAGATAAGCAGGATTAAGCAGTTAAATCTTTTAAAGCCTTTTCTTTACTGGGCCACATAGACTTTTCCCAAAATAATGCTTCAGTATTACAATAACCATTCCCTCCACTCTCATCAGCAGAGATTGCATTTTAAATTACCCCTCCACTCCCTTTGGTCACTGAAAGTGATTTTAAGGGGGGTTAAAGGCCCTCCCCAGTGGCCGCACCACCTCCCTTGGGTTGCCGAAATCCCACGCCGGTGCCTCTCCTAGCCTTGCTATCAGCTGCTGCCAGATTCACACCTCAGCCCCGGCTCTGCCCAAGCAGCGAGGAAAGGTGTACTCACAGGGGCAAACGCCTGCTTGTTGTCAGCCCTTAGTCTTGGGCTTTTCAGCTAAACCACCACCGCTCATGATCCTGTGGAGTGGATGCCAGAGGAGATGAAGAGCTCCTGGCTGGTCCCTGCCTTGGGGGGGGGGGATGAGCCCCAAGCTGCCTGGCACCTAGAAGTGCCCAGCCTAGATGCTGCCTAAGTACTCCCTGACCCAACAAAATGCCCTCCCCCCCCTTTATTTTTTGCCTGTAGAGATGGACTACTGGCACGTTTCGTTTATTCCTCGCAGCGGAGGCATTGCTACCAGCACCAAGTCTCTGGGGACGAAGCAGCTGCAGCTCAGGCGCTGTGTTGCGGAGAGCCCAGGGACAAGCTGCCTACGTGGAGAAGGGAGAATAGGCTCCTTTTGGTAGTCTGCCCATATCTAACTCCCATGTCCAAAGATGAATATTCTTCACCTCCAGGGGCTGTGAAAAAGCAGTGATATTTCAGAGGAGGAACCAGGGAAGAGTGTGCTCTGTTCAATACAGAAGAATGAAATGAAGACACCTCCAACTAAGACCCTTTTAACATAAAGACAGTGAAGTCAGTTTTGTTTAATATCAAATTAGACCCAACAAGCACACAAATAGGTTTGCAGAGATTGGAGGAAACGTACAGATGACGTGGAAAAGACGATACTTAACCTGTGATGCCTAATTTCTGTAATAAAAATGGTAAGGTAGTCAGCATCAAAGCTGAACTGTCAGAAACCAGTCTTGCAAAACAGTAGCCTCACACCAGGGACTGGCCGTGCTGTACTGCAACCACATGTATATCTCTCCCCCTACTTCCACCCCCTCCCCCCCGCCCTGTCCCCTCTCCCCTTTTTAAAGCTGCACAGAGAAATGAAGAAAAGATGCCTACCCTAACCAGACATGGATGTAACAGGCAGGATACATACTGCAATACATGCAACATGCTGCTAGAGAACTTCATTCACAGGCAGATTTAACCAATATTGCCACCACCACAATGATCACTATCGTAATTTACATTCTATTTGCAGTGGTAACAGAGGGAATGAAGGAAACAAATGCCCTAGTCCACAGGAGAGAACATAAATCTCCTCATGTAGACAATCTCCTGAGGCAGACTGCTATTTAGGTCTGCAAATCATGACAATACCCTTTTTGCCTATATACTTCCATCAAAGGAGTTATCTGACTGCATTTCTGTATTCACAAATTAGCACATAGCTGTACTACACCCTCCACCAAATCCCTCTAAAGCATGCACGCGGCCTGCACACATTAAATACACACAGACTGCACATGTCATCTGCTTGGGTTCGGAAGCAGTTTGTGTGGAACTACACGGAGATTCCACGTCAAATACGTGTCGGACCAAACAAGTCAAAAGGAAGGTCGAAACCAGGCTCCATCTGACCACGGATGGGTTGACAGGAGAAGGGTTCTGCTCTGCACACGCTGCCCATGGTAAGGAGGATGCAGGCTCAAATAGAAACTAATGCACCTTTTCCATCTCTGCTGTCGGGCTGAACAGGAAAGCTTTTAAACTGCTGATCGGATGGACAAAAAGGAGTAAAATGCTTTGCAGCGAGTGGTCTTGCACTGACAGGCTGTCTCGTCAGATCATA